TGCCCGAGTTTGGAATCATCACTTTAACAAGTGAGTGCATATATGTTATGTGCGAGTTATTTGATGTTGCCTGAAATACGTGTTAAAGAACATACCTGATTATATATGATGATTTAGGATAAAGAGTAAACCTAAATTAATTATGAGGAATATTGGGTAGTATCTTCTTACGAGTACGGGTGAGTTATACTCAGAGAATAGAACTTTAATATATGTTATTGATCCGGGAGCATGGATTAGACATAGTCATTGTCCCTAGTCCGAGAGTATGGATTGGACATAGTCAAATGCCATTAATCCGGAAGTATGGATTAAGACATAGTCAACTTTCCTTAGTCCGGGAATATGGACAGGACATAGTTATTTGTCATTAATCCGGGAGTATGGATTTAGACGTATACACTTGTCCCTAATCTGAGAGTATGGAATGGGGACAATTATTGATCCGAGAACATGGATTAGATCTGGGAGTAAGAGGTAAAATTTAAGGTCCGAGAGTATGGATAGTCTCGTTGTGAGGATTGACGGGGTCGGGTAAGAGTTGATTATAAATATGGGGAAATTGTATATTTTGTGAGTTCTAAATTATATATATGATATAACATTGTGGGATTGAAATCCCTATGTACTCACCAGGTTTCCCAACCTGACCCACTCAAGTTTATTTGTGTCATAGGTGTCGATATGAAGCTACTTTACACTGAGAGATTTAAAAGAGATGTAGATCACTAGTGTAAATGAATGTAAGTTCTGTTTATGCTTATGTTTCTGTATTGACGATGACATCCCAAATGTTTTAAAATGAATAAAAATATATTTCTTCGGAAATGATTTGATAATATCTTTATCATGTTTTTTTTTCTGGGAAAAATTCCGCAACATTTTTATTAAAAGAGATACTCTGATTTTTATAAAGCATAAACAAAATCGGTCTTTTCTGGCCGTGAAAATGGGGATGTCACAATACCTCGTGCGAAACATTTCCGAGAACTGATCCAAGGTAATAGCAGTTCTCTGCTCAGGAGTATAGGAACCGGTCACCAGGTTCCACCGGTCCTTCGCGCCCAGTCGAAGGCGGTTCAGGGCACACCTGAACTTCTAGTCCTCTGAACAGGACAGGTGAAGAAATAACCCTCCACATCCAAAATCCATATCATGGCCACGATCGGGTCCTTGACCTCGTCAAACTTTGGGGGGCTTTGTGATGCTGAAGTCCCGGTACTAAAATGAACATTTTCCTTGGCCTCCCGCATCAGCGACGGTTGCGATCGCTACAACTGTAGCGGTCTCGGTGAGAGCAACATCACGATCATCAAATAACTCAATCATAGTGGTTTTGATAGACCCAAACAACTCCATAACAGAACCTTGGACAACAGCAACTACCTCAGTAGCGATCAACTCACGTATGTCATCATCCGTCAATCCCGACCTATCCTGGCCAACAGCTCCAGAACCAGATCCTCTCGTGAACATCATACTAAAAATGAACCAAAATATATCATAAACGCCCCAATTCATACTATTACACTCATCACAGAGAGACTAAACCCTTGGGTTTTGTGAATTCCTTGCTACGCGTACGGGTCCTGTGCTTCCAGTAGTACGGGTCCATATTGCCTTCCACACCTACCCTTATTTGTATTAATGGATCATCATAGACTACTCGAAACCAACTCACAACTAGGATACACATACATCCTATACACACTCTCCCGATAGTGGCTACCTTCCCCCAACGAGCCTGCTACACCCGAACTCACTCATGAAACTTCCAACAACCCTGCAACCACTCGTGCATACTAATCATACATAACATTGGATCTCATAGACAGTCGAATACTTGATTTTACCCTAAGCCCTTCATCAGACAAGAACATGAAATAAGGCTAAATCAAACATTCTCAGGATATGAAATCTTAGTTATGTACAACTATGATGCACACACTAAGCAACTACAGTAACGATGTCAATTTTATCTAAACATACAAGAAGTTATCTTAGTATATCAGACATCATACCTTAGACAATTTTATCATGAAATTCCCGAAGATCTCTAGCCTATCAATAGCATGCAGTTATATCATAAACATCATAACAAATAACATTGTGGGTATCTTGGGGTACACTTTCTTGCTCCGGTTGATCGTACACATCTCATCATTCTCTGGTTATCATTGAAAACAATTTTGTGAAAATAATTTGGAATTTTCTTTTTTGAAAACGTTACCCGTCCTTAGTTTGAGTCTAGATTGACACGAGTGATTATCCAATTCGCTCAAACCGGGTCTCTGATACCAACTTGTAACATTCCAAAAATCAAGGTAAAAACTTCATTTTTCAAAATCAACCCATTAACCATAAATATTTACAAAACTTAGTTTCTAAAAGTCAAAATCATAAATCAGAGTATCCCAAAATCAAATCTCATAAAAACTGGAGGATGTGCACGGTCATTCCTTTGATTTTCCCGATCATCTGAAGTACTTGAAATATAACACATAAACTGTAAGCCAAATCTTAGTGAGTCTCCCCAACTACCCAACGTAACAAATCATATACAAACATACATGTTGGGTCCACAACCATTGGGCCGGATTACCCCCACCCATAGTCATCATACTGGATTGCCTCGGCCCATTCAGTCATCAGACTGGAATGCCCCAGTCTATTGGCTTACGCACATAACAGTGAAGCCTCAACACCAAACCGTACTATGATGACATATGCAATAGATAAAACATATAACAGTAATAGATAATCATATAGATCTTAACAGATCACTATTCTAAACCATAATAACAATATACTTGGTCAGCATTGGTGCCTTCGACCCACAAGTACAGTGAGGAACTCACCTCACAGTCTGACAAACTAGCTGAACAACACACTGCTCCGAATACCAACTCTATAGGTCACCTATACAACAAACAGTGACCAAATCTCAAACCACAACTCAAAATACCAAAAATGCCCTTAAGTCAAACTCGATCAACCCTTGGTAAAAGGTCAAAGTCAGAAAGTCAAACATTCAAAGAAGTCAAACTGACTGAGTACGCTAAGCGTACTCATTAACTACGCCCAACGTAGTGCGTCCTTTACCAAAAAATGGGACCTTGACCAGGTACGTGCAACGTACCTCTTGGTACGCCTTACATACTATGTCAGGACATACTCTTTCTCATTAAGTGCTTATTCCTTAAGGCCTTTCCATCCAAACTCAGATCTAGACTCAAAACATCGACTTAAGTCATAAAGTTTCCACCTTTATGACTTTACATGGATAGAAAAGGTCCAAAATCTAAAACCTAACTTATTAATCTATTAAGACATCATAACTCTTGCATGGAAGGGATATAAGGACCAAGATCACATTTTTATGGTTCCTGACACCTAAAAATGTCTAAAAGGACAACTCTTCGGGTTTGAGTAGACCATACTCATGAACACCAAGCAAACGGTACCAAAATGAACACAAAATCAAGGCTAATAAGATCTAAGCAAATAACTCATCAAGATCTGAACTTTATACCCCCACAGGATGCTTGAGGATGAGATACTTTTGGATCTAAATGGTCTTGAGCTTCCAAGTTGAATCCACTTCTTTCTTCCTCCTTCAAGAACACAAAAATACACACTAAGGCTCAAAGATGCTCACAAAATGGATTAGGGTTTGTAAGGGACAAAGTGGGCAATGGAGGCCGATGAGGGAAAAGCTCATGGGAGTTAAGTATGCTTAAATAGGTCTCAAACCCTAAAAACCAGAGTTTAAACATCGGCCATGTACGGTCGATGTACTCACTTGAGGTGCGTTTCTCATTAATCAACCATGGGACCAATTTTGCAACAAAATTTCATATTGATACGATCCCGAGCTTTGATTTCAACGGTTTCACTAATAAGGACACCGCCCCTCCAAAAGCCCAACATTCATTGGCGAGTGCCCTTTTTAGTAAAATTGTCCAAGACATGGAAGTTTACTTCGACGTGACGATTAGGCAGAAAGCAATTTTTGAGTGTCTAAGGGCCTCACATGCTCAGGATTTCCTTATGACTATTCCTATTAACGGTCTTGGCCAACATATGTTGCCAGTGGAGTATCGTGTCATCCTCAAGCATCGCCTTATGATCCCCTTATTTCCAGCTGACGAGACTTGCCCTGTTTGTTGTAAGGCATGCTTGGACTCCTTTGGGGAGCATGCAGTTCATTGTAAAGAGCTTCCGGGTATCAAGTACCGACACGATCTGGTTAGGGATGTTCTTTTCGACATATTTAGGCATGCTGGGGTTTCCGCCAAGAAAGAGGCACCCGTCAATTTTTTGACTGACCCATTGGAAGGAAGATCAGCACTTAGACCAACTAATGTTTTAGTATTTGGATGGGCTGGAAGAAAACATACATGCATGGATCTAACATGGGGTTTCCCCTCGTGTGGACCTAGGGAGTGGGGTTTTCACTGTGGGCAAGCTGCATCAAGCAAAGTGGCAAAACATGAGAAAGCGTGCATGGAAAATCAACACACGTTTCTACCCTTTGCATTTGATACTTTCAGTTTCCTTTCGCCAGAAGCTGTGGAGCTACTCAATAGAGTCCAACGAGTCATGCATAGTAATGTTATGACTCCAAGATCTATAGATGTTGTTTTTAAAAGAATTAGTTTTTCCATCCAAAAAGAGGTTGCGGCACAGCTTGTTGCTCGTTTACCCGCTGCGTCTATGTAAAACTTTCTTCTTATGTTTTATAAAATTCAAGAGGATTGTTTTATTTGGATTAAAAAATAAGTAAATAAAATTACGGGTGTAAATGGAAAATACCTGAAAATTGAGGTGTTACAAAAAGCCTATCAAACAAGTCTATCAAGGCAACATATAAGGCAACACATATGACAATTGGATGTTTGTCGCAAAAACTGGGAATAACAAAATATATTAACAAAAATAAGGTATAATATGCCAGTGATTAACATCCCACTTCACCCCTTTTCCTAATCACTACCTAGCTAATCCAACTTGACATGTTTGGTAGCACTAGAACCACTACCATCTTTGTCATACACAATCTTCTTTAACTTTAGCTTCAATATCCTATCAGAAGGTTTCCTTTTCCTACACACAAGCAAGTTACTGACTCCATCATCTTCCTCTTGTCCCTCATCCACTCCCTCAACAACAACTTCCTTTCCTGCATCAACTCCTCCATCATTAACTTCATCATCAACAAACACCTCAACATCATCTGGATGGGCTTCTTCATATTGTAATTCTTGTTAAGCAAATATATGACATGTAGTCACAGCATGGGAAAAATATAACAAACTTGAATTTAAGTAGAATAAATAAGAGATTAAATACCAGTTCAATAGGTACCATGTCATCTAATGTCATTTCTATCCCTTTACTACCTTCAATTTCACCAATGTTGTATCTGGACTCTAGTAGCATGGCTACATCTTCTTCATTCAGTTGGATTTTATCAGGTATAAAATCATTTGAATTACCTTCAAGCAACTCAAGTTCCTCCTCTTGAATGTATATAAGAATTTCATTTATACAATCCTCAACATCATCAATAATTTCACTTAGCTTTTGTGACTTAGATTGTCCCTCAACAACTTCATCTATAACTTGACTGACCATACCCTCATCAACCTCTTGTTTTCCATTTTACTGGTTTTGCCCTTCATCCACAAGTTGTTCAGTTTCAGCCACATTGTCAACATTGTCAACATTCTAAACATCTAGTCCCTCATCAACAAATTTGTGTCCCTCATTCTCAAAATCTTGAACCTCACCGACAACCTTTCATCCCTCAATCTGAACTTGTCCTTCATCCACAAGTTTTTTTCCCTTACCTCCAGCTCTACCTCCACCCCTTCTAGCATTTATTTTTCTCCTTTTTGCAGTTGGCTGATTTGGATCATTACTAGTTTTTGTACTCCTCCTTCTAGTATTTCTCCTATAATCAGATGCTTGATTGGGATCCATATTTTGATTCATTAGACTTTCAATTGTGGTACTTTCATGTTCCTCTTGATTTTTTCTTGGCCTACCCAATTTTTTGGGTGCATGTGGAAATCTTGGTGTTGCTTCATTTGTGCAACTTTGTTTGTTATATCTAAATTCAGAGCAATTACCACACCTCACAATTTTGGATACATGAAATCTTGCAGTAGCAAACTTGGTCTCTTTTTCACTTGAATGCCTTATCCTTTTGGTGGCAGGCCTTCCTGACATTCTCCTAGCTGTTGGTGGCAAAGGCTTTTGGAATGTAGTTTGTTCCCTCAAATTGCTCCCATTAACATGAATTATGTTAGTTTGGTAACATTCAATAAACCTGTCTTTTGATAAGCACTCGTTAACATATCCATAAATTGTCTTATGGATATAGTTAATGACAACATTTGCATGAACACAAGGGATTTCAGAAATATCCCAAAGCTTGCATGTACAAGTCCTGGCCTCCAAGTCTACCTTGAAATTTTCATAATTGAACCTAGATTCAAACACTAAAGCTTGGCAATGAATAACCATCCAAAACCTGAAATTGGCACGTAAATTTTAAAACATTAACATAAGAGCATTGATTTATAAAGTACAAATGCAATTGACTAAGTAATACATACCTCATATACTTCCCAAAAAGGTTCATTTTTTTCAACACATTTGGGCACAGATTGGACTTCCATTTGTTACACTTATCAGTCATGTAAGCAAACCTATCCATTCTGTAGATTCTTATCTCCCCAAGCATTGTTATCAAAGGCTTTTTCCTAGCTTCTATTATGATGGAGTTGAAGCATTATGAGATTCCATTCTCAACTGCTTCACATGCAAACCGTGGAGTAAAGTAAGCTCTGCACCAAGTTCTAGGATGTTTGGATATCAAATACTCATATGTACCATGACTATGCTTCTTTATTTCACCCATATAATTCTTGAAGTCTCCTTCTACAAAACTCATTTCTGAAGACCAAAAAAGTCTTTTGAATTCTAATCTGGTTAAGCCTTCCTAAAGTTTGCATAAATGTGTTTAACACATCGTCGGTGCTCCACATGTGGCAAAATGTCTTTCACAGCTTCCTGCAAACCCTGAAACATATAAGTACATTGTATATTAATACAAAACATATCAATTATATAATATATTAATACAAAACATAGAAAATAAAAGTACCTTATGTTGATCTGATATGATAACCAACCCTCTACCACCATCCAACATTAGATCATCATGTATAAGCTCCAAAAACCAAGTCCAATTAGGTTTATTCTCCACATCTACAACAGCCCAAGTTATTGGATAGACTTGGTTGTTTGCATCCCTTCCAATTGTTGTCAACAATTCACCTTTCACCTCACCTTTCAAGAAGCATCCATCTAAACCAATCACTTTTCTACAACCACTTTTCCATCCGCTACTTAAAGCTTTAAAACATATATAAATTTTGTGGAAATAGCTCTTTCCATCAGGGTTGTTGATGACACCAACCTTGCAAGTAAACCCATGGTTTGATCTTAATAGCTCAGAGGACTAGTCCCATTGATAAGTCTATTGTATGAATGTACTAAATTGTCATAAATATGTTGAATTGATGCATAATTGTCCAAGAATGGCACTACTTTGATGAAATGTTGAACATTATGTGCAGGCAACTACTTAGTGCTAAATTGGGCGAAACACGCAAGAAAAATGAGCAAAAGGAAGCTAACAAGCATGGGAGATGAATTGGTAAAAGAATGAAGAAAAATGGGGCTGAGAAATTTGACCACTCTTCAATGTTTTGATCATATCTCAAGATCTAGAGCTCCGATTAACATGAAGAAAGAAGTTTCGGAAACTAAAAAAAATTTCCTACAACTTTCATGTTTTGCGTTTTTACTGAATCTACCGTTTTCATCGCCAAAAAGGGGCAACAATGATGAGGGACGTCCTAGAACGCGTCTAAGACGCCCCTAGGACGCCTACCCGTTTTAGGCCATTTTCAAGTGCAAATCAAGGACGAAAGAAAGCCTGTAAAACGTCACGAAGGACGCCCAGACGTCCTATATGACGTCTAAGACGCCTACTAGGACACCGACGCGGAAACAGCTCCAAAAATCAGTTTTTCAGCACCTATTTAAAGGAGATTTAACCCTAATCGACTTAGGACTTCTCCCCTGCGATTTTTCCCAGTTTTGGAGGGTTCCAAACACGTTCAAAGCTTCTCCAAATACATTTTTTATCATCAATTTCCAAATCAAAGCCAAGAAAATCATCAATTACACAATCATTCGATGTTTGAAGATCGTTCAAAGGGTGGATCTACTTCAATTCTATCAAGTTCCAGAATTTATTACTTTCTCCCCAAGGTCCCGTTGTTCTATGCTTTAATGATTATAAAACATCATTAGCTTTATGATTTTTAGTTTTTTTGTGGATCTTACATTAGATTTCATTGTTTTTATGCTAGTTGTGTGTTTTGTGAATATTACGAAAGACTAAATCATTAGGGTTACTTCCGGGAATGGTTAGGATGATTTGATGAACGTGTTTTGATTATTACTTCTATTCCAATCAACTTTGGTTATTATATGTTCTTAAATTTATGATTTCTATTAGTGATAATTGAAGTTGGGTTTTATTCATGTGTTTAATTTTAGAATTAAGATAGTTTATTGTTAATTCACTAATCGTGCCTAATTCATATAGCTTAGGAACTAAGACGATCGGTTGAATCAACATATACTATTCCAAACTTGTGATTTTAAATGCTAAACATGGTAATTGGTAATCATAAGACACAATATTGCCAAGCCACTCATTGTTCCTAATCCATTTAGACATAGGGAGTAAGACAATTAGTAGGAATAACATATTGTGTGCCCAAAGTTATTTATTGCATGTTAATTGACCTTAGTTATGTTTTTATAATTAAATTGGAATTTAAGGGAAGATAAACATGTGAGTCTTAATCATCCAACACTGAACCTGAAGTAGCCTTGTTTTTCTCATTGGTAATCGTTTGCAATATAAAGTTTCTAGTTTTTTTATTTAAATCTTAGTTTAAATATTTTTTCGTGACAATTGCTAGTAGTTTTTCGTTAACTATTTTAACACAAGGTTTAACCACGATCTCCTCGTGGGTTCGACCCGACTTACCCTATCTACTTAGGTTAGTTGGTTTATTTTAGATTGAGACAACGACCTCGATCAAAATTTGATTCTTGCATATTGCTCAATTTGTTGGATTAGTGTCTAAGTCCATAACTATATTTGGTAGGTACTTGACCCGATTGTAGCATGGTCCTTTTTGGGTTGCTTTCACTAAAGCAACTTGACTGGATGAATAATAGAGAAAGAGGATATTATGGTTTATTTGTAACACCCAAAAAATTTTCAAGCCAATTTAAAACTTTCCAAAACATTAAAAACCAATAGTTATTACAAATTTGTTTTCAAAATAGTCTATATCAGAGTTTTCACAGAAACATAAACAAAACATGAGGAACTGTACGATCATGTCTTCGCCTTGCCGCGATCCCCCGATGTACCTGAAACAATAAACTAAAACTGTAAGCCCGATAGCTTAGTGAGTTTCCCCCAAAATACCGATACACTACACATAACACAAATACAAATAACAGCACGTACTGGGTCAACAACTTTAAAGACTGGATTACCCCTTGGGCCCACAGTGTGAGCCTGGATTGCCTTACAGCCCACAACTCACATCTGGAATGCCACCAAGCCCACAGTACGAGTCTCCCTCAGCTCGTATCTGGAATGCTCTCAGGTTTGTTGGTTACCGCACGGAGCAGTATCACCTCAACCCATCTCACATAATATGTCGACATATAACATAACTAATGCACATACAGATAATCATACATAATCACAGGTAATCCTACAAATCTACCAGACTAGCATATCAACTAGCATACATCACTAGCTCAAACTTAACATAACAATAACTACTAGGATATAAATCCAATGGGCCGGCCTTGGTGCCTTAGACCCCTGAGTATAGTGAGGGTAACTCACCTCATACTGTCGACTCGAAGATAAACTCAAGCTCTCAGATTGCCGACACAAACTCCACCACCTATATTCATCATAGAACCATACTTGCAAATTTCCAATTTCCCGAAATGCCCCCAAAAGTCCACTGGTCAACCCTTGGTCAAAGTCAACAGTCCATGTTGACCTCAACTTGTCGAGTACCCTCAGCTACTCGCCGAGTTCCTAGCATAACTCGCCAACTCACCGAGTCACTAAATTGACTCGTCGAGTTCCTAAGGTTTGCGGCCGCAAGCTCCTTGGCCAGCTCGCCGAGTTCCTATTGCAACTCGCCAAGTCCATACGTGTCCAAAGGTTGGGAAAACCCTAGCCGACTCGCCGAGTCACTCAACTGACTCGCCGAGCCCACGGCAATTTTCATCGGACTCGCCGAGTTGACCATGCAACTCGCCGAGTCCCTTCAGTCCTTCATCGATACAGACGCTTTTAAGCCATGCTAAGGTTCTAAATTGTAGATCCATCTTCCCAAGGCATGTTTATTACGTAAAGTTGCAAACTTTACGTGCATGCAAAGCTCTAAAGTCTTAAAATGACAAAACCAAGCTTATAAAGAAGTCTCACACTTGAGGGAAAGCTCATACTTGCCAAAGCTGATAACTTTATGGACCTAGAGACCAAGAAGAGCTCAGATATGAAGTTGCAACTTCATATCTTAGCTCAAAAACAAGAAAGGATTCCAAAGAAAAACACCCAAAAGAGATCTAGGAAGAAATGAGCCAAGGTAACAGCGTAATACCTTCAAAAGGGTGTCAACTGAAGTAGATCTCTGATTCCCACGAGTTCCTTGCTTCTAATCACTTGTTTTCCCCAAGCTTTTCTCACCAAAAATCCTTCCTCAAAGCTTAAATACACAAAAGAAGCATACACACATGAATTAGGGTTTTGAAATGTCAAGGTGCTGTAAAGGGGAGGCTGGGGAGGCGAATGATCCTTTAAATAGGGCACAAAACCCCAGAAATTAGGGTTTCATCCTCCAGCTCCTACTCGTCGAGTCCCTACTTGGACTCGCCGAGTAGGTCATTTAAACACGCGGGCCAACCCGCTGCTACTCGACGAGTCGGGCACCCAACTCGTCGAGTAGGTCTTGAAATCAAGAAAAATCTTATATAAACAAAATCAATACCTGAGAATCGGGGGGTTATAATTCTCCCCCACTTAAACTAGACTTCGTCCTCGAAGTCTGCTGCGGTGAACAGCTCCGGATAATGCTCCCGCATCTCTGCCTCCGGCTCCCACGTCCACTCGGATCCCCTCTGATGCTCCCACTGTACCTTTTACCAAAGGTATCTCCTTGTTCCGCAGAACTTTCTTCTTCCTCTCCAGTATGGCCACATGCCTCTCCATGTAATTCAGGCATGCATCGACCTGAATATCATCCAACGACACCACTGCCTCATGATCCATAATGCACTTTCGCAACTGCGAAACGTGGAAAGTGTTATGGATCCGACTAAGCTCCTCCGATAGCTCTATCCTGTATGCCACCTTTCCAACCCTGGCAATGACCCTGAACGTTCCAATGAAACGGGGACCCAATTTCCCCCTCTTCCTGAAGCAAATCACACCCTTCCAGGGTGAGACCTTCAGGAGTACCATATCACCCACCTGAAACTCTAACTCAGATCGGCGTCTGTCGGCGTAACTCTTCTGCCGACTCTGAGCGGTTT